CTCACTATTCATTCTAAGTAATAAGGATATTTATGTACATGTAAAAGAATAAAACACACTATAGAATTTAAAACTTTCTCATACACTATATAACATTGTTCATACTTACATCTGTCCTCCAACATGAAGCATGTTTAACAAGAAACAGTTATATTGCAAGCATTAGAAATATCGTGTATCTTTCACATACCTCAGAAGTATTGTAGTGCGTGCTGCTTATATTGATATAAGTAGTATATTATACGAGTCAGGAATGTAATGTCTAGCAGCAGAAGATGAGGGAAGAACAAGAAAGCAAGAGCGGGAATAGAATGCAATTTGTATGAAAATGGAAGAACAATGAAGTCTGAGGCATTTTGAGACAATTGGTGGACATTTTGCAAATTAACGATTAAATATATGGTTCTCAGATTTTATTGAGATGCTCTGTAATTTTATGTTAAGTACATTCGATTGTATCCACCTGTTCTTGTTCATTACAGTATCATCGATGAACAATAGGATCTGATGCAGACTTGGACGCGAGGATTGGCGAAGCAAGGGCCTCATCAGTACAGCCGAAGAATATATAGCACTCAAAACAAATGTCTGAAAGTTAACATCAGAGTCATAATCTTCAGTACGAAAGTCAAGATAGTTCTACTGTATGGAGCTGAAACGTGGAGAACTACTTCAAACATCGTCAAGAAGATACAAGTATTTATAAACAGTTGTTTACACAAGATACTCAACGTCCATTGGTAGAATACCATCAGCAACAATCTACTGTGAGAAAGAATAAACCAGCTTCCAGCTGAAGAAGGAATTAGGAGAAGACGCTGAAGATGGTTAGGAAATAACTTACTCACGTCTGTTACTCATCATGGAGGAGCATAGGCCACCCATCAGCACTCTCTATCCAACCCTGTTCCAAGCAATGCTTTCCAGCTCTTTTCAGTTGTTATTCATCCTTTTCACATATGCTTCTATTTCCTGACGTAATTTGTCCTTTGGTTTTCCTCTTTTCCGCTTCCCTTCGGGATTCCAAGTTGGGGTTCGCCTCGTGATGCAGTTTGATGATTTGAGTAATGTATGTCGATGAATAGGAATATACATACATTAAAACAAATAAAGGAACATAGTTCAGATCAGACTAAATAGTTTATCCAAAGATGGATAGTGGCTAACAGTGAAATTGAGGATGCGCGTTTCGTCCTATTTGAGACTCGTAAGCAGGATGTACCTGGATCTCAGAGTTGATTTTCACTCTGAGACTCGAACCCAGTACCATTCACTTCAAATGCCATCGCGTTATCCATTTAGCCACTTTTCAAAATTATTCTAATTATTGTATCTTTCAGTCTAAAAATATATTTTTATTCAATCAGTAGACTTAAATAAAAATGGTTTTTATGTTGAAGTGAAATGAACAAAAATAACGTAGCATAAATGAATATTTGAGTATCAAATATAAGTATACAACGAGGTTGAAATGGTGGAGAAGATTTATATCTCAGGTGGATGATTTTGATGGAGTTTTGTTCTTTGAGCTAGATGATTTAGTCATGGAGCTTTCATCGTTCTTCTGAACAATGATCAACAATAAACAATTAATATTGAGATCTGTAAGACAAGCTATGAGCCATATGTGAAGAAATTTGAACACTTCACTTCTACTGGAAATTTGTGCTACTGATGATGTCGTTCAGAATAAGGATGAAAGAAAGCTTCATGACTAAACCATCCAAATCAGAGAATAAAACTTCATCAAGAACATCTATGAAATATGGATTAAACTGAAATCAATTTCAACAATTGTTCTGCTTTATGAGGTTTAAATAATTCACAAATAGTTAATATAGCTAGAGTAGAATACATCAATAATTTGTTACGATTAAGTGTTATTTTCTTTACATAGATACTGAAAATAATAGATATTTACATCGATCGATTTAAATAAAGAAACATAAACTAGAATGTTAGATGACAATTATCAACACTGATAAAAAGAAAAGATGAAACAAGGCAGTATTGTGGTGTGTGCTACTAATGTCCAAATATAGTGAATGAGAACCCAAGTGGGGACAATCGAAGGTTTATCATTACAAAGTTATCGAATCTGTTCTTGAAATCTGAGAACCATACAGTAAATAGTTCATGAGTAAAATGTTAATCAATCGTTTCAAACTTGATTGTTCTATTGTTTCCATATTAATCATTCTCTATTCTCGTTCTCTTTTCTTTAATCTTCTTAACCTTTTGTCTTCGGGCGCTTCATTTTTGATTGATGATTCAAACTACTTATATCTATCGATATCAGTAGTATACACTACAGTATTACCATAAAATGTTTATTTTGTAAGATGTATGTAAGTATGTATATTTTGGAGACAATAAAAAGAAGTGGAACATTGAACAAGATCAATAATTGTCAATAAAAAAATATCTTAACATTGGTAATCATGTGAATAACAATAAAAATTGACAAAAGTAACATGTTTGAATTGAATTGATAAACATCATTTATCAAATGAGTAAATGATAATTATTGTTTTAAAAGAAAAACAAAATAAAGTTAACATGTAATTAAGATAATGACTATGTAGTATCGGTTACTATGTTAAGCTCACATACCTTATTCTATCTTCTGGACAAGCTAATCTATTCATTCATCTTGAATCACGGTTTTGAACTTGTTAATTATTCACTTATCAACTCTGACTGTTTTTATGTAAACGTATGTGTGTGATCACTTATTATCCTATTCATCATATGTTTGTAGCCTATCTTTTTTGTTCTGACTATATATATATATATATATTGATTAACGCTTGATTAAAACGAGTTGTTGGTTCACATGCCATCTCCACTGCACGTCATCTCACTTTACTCTATTCTCTCCGCTTAGTTCGTTTGATCTCTCTGATTATCTGTCCAGGTCAATGAATATGTATAAACTATATATATTCAAAACTTCATTCTCGTATTTGATTCCGTTATTCACTAACGTAATTTCAGTTGATAGTTGTGTACGAAAATAGTCAGGATATATGGTTCAACAGCAATCATTCAATGACGACCATTTGTCCAATTTAAATGTAGTCAGATCTTGGGCTACAAAAGATTGTCTATTATGAGTTCATCCAAAAGGTTTATAACTTTTGATTGATTCTAGATTAAATGACTTATTATTTATTGATTTATATAAGACAGTGATGAACTTTGTATTTGCTGAATGTATATTCCAGAAATTCTTTCAATAATTATCCATTTTATCATCAAATGAACATAGAAAAGATTAACTTGTACCCAAGTTAAACAAATTTCATATGTGTGTAGTGAACAACTTTTATGAAGAGAATGCTATTGATATAATGGAAACAATTATTACTATTATAATCAATTGTACCAGTGACTGTTTTACTGTGCTTGTTTGTCTAACTGTACCAAAACTCATAAATCCTTCCGTTGATAAGAACCTTGAACAAATTCGGTTACACTCAGTAACCACACTTGTAACCTGGCACGATCTCGGTATTATTTCAATACCACGAGATCGCCAAAAAGCATATCTCGACTACAGCCATCTACTGCATTCTGATATTCGGTTGATGGTAGATCATTTCAATTCACTGGCACGTAAGTAAGTAAGTAAGTAAGTAAGTAAGTAAGTAAGTAAGTAAGTAAGTAAGTAAGTAAGTAAGTAAGTAAGTAAGTGAGTAAGTAAGTAAGTAAGTAAGTAAGTAAGTAAGTAAGTAAGTAAGTAAGTAAGTAAGTAAGTAAGTAAGTAAGTAAGTAAGTAAGTAAGTAAGTAAGTAAGTAAGTAAGTAAGTAAGTAAGTAAGTAAGTAAGTAAGTAAGTAAGTAAGTAAGTAAGTAAGTAAGTAAGTAAGTAAGTAAGTAAGTAAGTAAGTAAGTAAGTAAGTAAGTAAGTAAGTAAGTAAGTAAGTAAGTAAGTAAGTAAGTAAGTAAGTAAGTAAGTAAGTAAGTAAGTAAGTAAGTAAGTAAGTAAGTAAGTAAGTAAGTAAGTAAGTAAGTAAGTAAGTAAGTAAGTAAGTAAGTAAGTAAGTAAGTAAGTAAGTAAGTAAGTAAGTAAGTAAGTAAGTAAGTAAGTAAGTAAGTAAGTAAGTAAGTAAGTAAGTAAGTAAGTAAGTAAGTAAGTAAGTAAGTAAGTAAGTAAGTAAGTAAGTAAGTAAGTAAGTAAGTAAGTAAGTAAGTAAGTAAGTAAGTAAGTAAGTAAGTAAGTAAGTAAGTAAGTAAGTAAGTAAGTAAGTAAGTAAGTAAGTAAGTAAGTAAGTAAGTAAGTAAGTAAGTAAGTAAGTAAGTAAGTAAGTAAGTAAGTAAGTAAGTAAGTAAGTAAGTAAGTAAGTAAGTAAGTAAGTAAGTAAGTAAGTAAGTAAGTAAGTAAGTAAGTAAGTAAGTAAGTAAGTAAGTAAGTAAGTAAGTAAGTAAGTAAGTAAGTAAGTAAGTAAGTAAGTAAGTAAGTAAGTAAGTAAGTAAGTAAGTAAGTAAGTAAGTAAGTAAGTAAGTAAGTAAGTAAGTAAGTAAGTAAGTAAGTAAGTAAGTAAGTAAGTAAGTAAGTAAGTAAGTAAGTAAGTAAGTAAGTAAGTAAGTAAGTAAGTAAGTAAGTAAGTAAGTAAGTAAGTAAGTAAGTAAGTAAGTAAGTAAGTAAGTAAGTAAGTAAGTAAGTAAGTAAGTAAGTAAGTAAGTAAGTAAGTAAGTAAGTAAGTAAGTAAGTAAGTAAGTAAGTAAGTAAGTAAAATGAATTTCTCAACTCCTTTAGGCAACAATGAGGATAATATTATCTTTCATATGTCTATTGAATGACGGACTTGTATTGTTTATATGAGCTAATGATTCTTTTATACTTGATGAGTTTGACTTTGAAATTCAACATGTTCATTCGCCCACATCTTGTTCTTTTTTGTTGTATTCTGTTATTTCAAATACTCTTAATTATCACAGATTCAGAAATATACTCGTTTAATGTTAATTCCCACCAATATAACAAATAACCATTTTGATAAAAAAATAGTTTATTATTTATGTAAACAAACAAAAGATAATAGGCAGATATCATAATGTTGAATTATGAAAATCAGTAGTTTATTGACGAATATATGAATATGAATTACAATTATTAGTAGTATATATAATTTACCGCAATTTATTCTCTTTAATAAACAATTAATCTGTCAAAATGTACGTGATTTTACTTCGCATTATTTGTTAAGTTAATATTTGTTTAATGAATTTTGAAAAAACGAAAGCTAAACACACTGATAAGAAAAATCTAGTTGAAATTGGCGGGTTCGTATCAATATGAAAGGCGGTTTGTTTGAATATTTGGCTACTTACTCCCGTCATTTAGATATTTTTTTATCTGTTTCTTTGTTTGTTTTAATAAATCCTTGTGTCAATTATTTATTCAGTTAGGAAAGAGTATCATTAGACATACTATGTTTGTTGACAGGCAATATGCATTTTAGAAAATGAACTTGATTCAGATTGGGATTCCTGAACTCTTAACATCTATTTGGTGATTACTCAATATTTATCTTTGGGATCAACAAAGAAGTAAGAAAAGGAAACTTGTTGAAATACTCTATACTGAGGATTCTATATATTGTATTAAAAATGTAATGCTGAATAAAGCGATTAATAAGAATAATAAAATAGAAATAAACCAAGTACTTCAGAAGGGAAATGAATATCCAGAATACATTAATCAAAATCTTGTAGTTAAGGAAAGTTTCCTCTCTGTCTAATATGTTATTTTTATATGATATTGAATCACCTGAGATGATCTAGTTACCTGTTAGTTGATTTTAATTTTCTTAAAATCACAAATTCATTGTTTCATTTAATAAAAATAAAAAAATTCAGCGAAGGAAAGTGTCTTTACGACGAATAGCGCGCGCTAATTAAAAGGACTGGTATTTTTCCTCGCTGAGTGAATCCTATTGGTTTGATCGTTTATGCGTATCAAGACTACTGTTTTCACTTTATATGAATTTATTTCGGTCAAAGTATTCGTTTAAGGCATCGGTTCCGTTTCTAAAATAGTTTGTCGTCGGTACTTTTGGGTACTTTGTTTCCTATTGTATCTGTTAGTACATTTGACCCAAACAATCTATAGTTTTCTACTTTTTTTCGGCCACAGATCGTATTTGTCTCCAAGTATTACTACATCTAGTTCTTTTTTAAAAAAGACCCTGTTTAATGATTGGACAGCGCAAAAAAGCAATCGCCAACGTCCGGGCTGTCGTTATCCCGTTGAAAGCGCCATGCAGTGCGATGAGTGCAAAGGTTGGCACAACGAACTTTGCACGAATTTAACGCCTGCGGCTTTCAAACGGTTCAGTAAAAGCAGTTGCGTATAGCCATGTCAACTGTGCCGTTCGGATGCAAACAGCTTGCTAACCGAGGCCATCTCATTGATAAGTGCTGCATAAAATATTTTGGCAAGCGTGGTCGGGACAAATCGAACAGTACTCGCTCTCTCGAAACTCAAATTGTTGTGAAGAAAACTCAGGTGAATTCGAAAACAGCTGACTCACACTGACCAAAGGAGGAAAAACAGTCTTCAAATAGGTCTGTCCTAACTAAAAACTCAAAAAAGAAGTTTCTTCTTTTCCCCGTCTTTTAAATGGTATCCAGCAAGAAACGCCTGGGAGCTGCAATCGCAAGGCTCGATCGGTTTCTAGCGGGAAACATAACGTGACCTCCCACAGTATGTTTGGCGCGACTGTGGTTGCTTCTCCAAGTAACGTTGACGAATGGGTGCAGGTTTTAGGGAAGAAACAACATTACGATATAAAAGGGAATCCTGCCCCCATAAAACTTGTCGAGAAGTTGAAGGCTGATCACAGTAACAGATCAGTTATTTTACATAGAATACAGGAAAATTAAAGCTCTGAACCAAAATCTCGTTTAGAACATGACATTGCGCTAATTAGGAAGCTGCTCAATCAACTCATACCTCAAAATATCTCCAGAGTTACCTTGCTGAAGGTGTACAGACTAGGGAGTCTAGCGGACTTAAAACCCCATCAATCCAGACTGCTCAAAGTAGTATTCAAGTCTTCGAACGAACGTGATTTCATTTTACAGAATGGACACAAATTAAAGGGTTCAGGAGCTTTTATCCGTCAGAACTTGCCGTTGGCAGACCGCGTAAAAAGACGGGAAGTCGACGGAGAACTACAACCTAGATTAGACGCTGGCGAAAACGACATAAAAATTGTAAATTTTAGGGTTGTAAGGCTTCGACAGAGAATGATGCCGAAGCCACTCTGGGTGAAGCACGAAGGCACTTAAACAGGCTTCGGATCTGTTACACCAATGCACGAAGCTTACTTAATAAGCGATCGGAACTAGGTGTACAGATTGACTCTACAAAGCCAGACATAATCGCAGTAACAGAAACCTGGCTGAAACAGGCTATAGATAGTATGGAACTTGATTTCGAGGGTTTTACATTAGTAAGAGCCGACAGAACACAAAAGCGCAAAGGAGGGGGAGTAGCTCTATTCATTAGGAATGCTATCTCATTTGCCATTATCGATAGTGTATCCCATGAGAGTGGGACGTGTGAATTACTTATTTGCCGCTTGAAATATGAGGGACAAGAGCTGCTGATTGGTTTAGTCTATCGCAGTCCAAGCTGTTAGGTAAATGAAGTCCTGCTAAGCAGTCTCAATACTTGGTCACAAATTGGTCGCTGTCTAGTCCTATGAGACTCAATGCACCTATTATAGACTGGAAAAATTTGCGAACTCAATCGTCAGATAATGTTTTCCAGCACGAACTAGTTGATGCGGTTATTACATCTGCCCTAGAGTAACATGTGAAAGAAGCGAGTAGGTACGACCAGGACCCTGAATCATACTTACTAGATCTTATATTGACTCACCATGAGGATGACGTTGTGAACCTTCATTACACTGAGCTACCTGTTGTCCAGACACATAATGACTTCGGAATCATCATTAGCCAAGACTTAAAGACTACTGCACACTGCCGTGCAATAGCCGCCAAAGGTTTTATAACCTTATGATCAATACGTAGGGCTTTCAGTCATGTCGACACCTAAACGTTTTCGACTTCGTATAGTGTTCGTACGTCCTAAACTCGAGTACTGCATACAAGCGGCCAGCCCCTGCTTAAAAAAGACAGTGAGCTTCTGGAAAAGGTTCAGAGGACGGCAATTTAGCTGATTCCTGGAATAGCTAAGCATCCATATGATGCTCGACTGGCTGAAATAAACCTATTCCCATTGTCATATCGTAGAACTAGAGGCGACTTGATTACAGTTTTCAAATTGCTTAGTGATAAATTTGCACCTGATATACCCTCATTTTTCTTGTCTTCTAAAACAGAGAATTTCTAAAGACACTCCAAAAACGTTCACAGGCCGAGAACAAATTACTTGTAAGTTGACTATCGACTTTCTCATCGAATCACCAACGAGTGAAATTCATTACCTCAGCACGTGGTTGCGGCTCTATCCGTCGACTCTTTCAAAAGGTTGGATCAACTGAGAGACCACCATTGCCAGGACTAACACAGGCCATCAAGCCTCCTGTACTTTCCAAACTGAAACTGAATTCATTTACTTTAGCTATACATCAGTATTTATAGTTGCCTGACAAATATCGAGGAGATTGAATCATAAATTGATCATTGGTTTCGGATATCAAAATGAGGTTATCTAACGACCAAGGGGTTACAGAAGAATAGGAAGAAGAAAATGATTGCTGGTTAACAATAAGACATAATTGTCAACTTCACAGATAAGAAGAAAAATGGAAAAATCAAAGGTAATAGCAACAAATGAATAATAATCATGAAAAATTATTAGAGTATAGTGATAATGACTGGTCGAGGTTTAAAAATACAAAATAATAATAAAACCGTAATAAGACCAAAACATACTAGAGAAGATGAAAAGATCTCCAACAGCTTCGACAAAAAAGGGAAGATAGTCAATTGTATACCACAATACTGTTTTTAGCACTATATTTTATGGCCGCACATAATCTCATACTTTCAGCTCCTTTCTGAATCCCCTCCATTTGTCAGTTGTATGTCCACTCATACTTTGTTTACAGTTATTTTCTTTAGTTTATTAAAATGCTCTTGCTTGACAATACTTTAATAAAAGAAAATTAGACTGAGTAATCATACCTTAAATATTCCTTCATTATTATTGGCTACTCCGCCTCTCGTGTTTTCTTTTACTTGCTCCTTCTTTCAGCCCCCTTGAGATATGGAACGGATGACTTCATCCTGCACCGTCCTTAAAGCCTTAGATATTCCAAAGGGACATAAGGTTGCGATTTCTAGAAGCTCATACCTTCGATGGACCTATCCTTGACCATCAGCTGCACATTCGCAACGCAAATTCCATGAAGCGCGCCAACTGTGGTACTGATTACAACCATCTACATTCATATCTTATAAATTATCAACCCAGCTATGTAATTTACTACAGTGTATATTGTATCATTTGTATCAATTTGATCTTGCCTGTAAACTGGCATGCCTCATGTAACAAACTGTTATTTGAGAATAAATTATTATTATTAAGTAAATCAGAATCTAGGAATAATGGAAGATTGGATGCATCGTTTTTGCATGCAGAATTGGGGTTTGAATTGGTGGATCACCGACGCCACACCAGTGCATAAGGTTTTCATTTGACCTACCTTTGATCCAATTTTTTCGACTGTATGGATTATTTTAAAGGACGACTTTTTAGAAGCAGTGTGTTCAGAGTTGATCAGGTGCTCCGTTACTGAGATAGTGTTAGCTTTTCCCTCCACTTTTAAAAGCCATACCGGACAATTTTCTGAGGCAATTTTCGAAATCCATCTATTCGTGCATTCAGTGTAACCTGGCCAACACCAGCAAGTAAATTTATAGATGAACATCCCTGTGACCCGAAGAAGAAGTTTATCCCTATCACACCTGTGAACTGTAAGTCAGTTTGAGAAGGCAATACGAAGCCTAGATGAATAAAAGTTTTCAACCGGGGATTTTGAAATCTGCCTATTAAGGATTTCGGCAGCTGTATCTCGTTTAGATGCGACATTCATAAGAAGAGTTTTCTTTCCCATTTTTCTTATTTGACTTCATGAATTGCCGCTATCAATTAAAGCTTCACGAAATCCATTACAAAGTAAGTTACTTTTTTTTAGTTATGACTGATTATTTAACTAAATAGTTTGTCAAGATGTATTCTACGAAAAGTTATACTTTCATCACATATGGCTGATAGAGAGCCAAGAGTCAGACAAAGTTCTTTGGATTGAAACCTTATCTATTTCAGGTTTCCTTCATATGAAGGACATACGTAACCGTATCTCGTCTATACTACCCATTTTCACCGATGAATCAACCGAATTTTCTGTCACTGCCTTCAGTGGTTCACTTTCAATTGTATGTGATGAATTTAACTCATGTGACTGTAGCTTTCTTTAATCACTAGTTCACTAGGATGTAGCAGATTTTCCTACTCGTTTGAATGCCCATGTTAACTCAGTTTCCATAATGATGTGGCAACATATGTGTCTGGCAAAAGTGTTCAATTATCTAGTTGTGATCACTGTATTATTCGTGCTCTACCTAGAGTATATGGTAAGCTTGAACTGAGTATGCTCTTAAGACAATGAAAGTGAAATACAGGAATTATTCGGAAGAAGATACCAGGAATCTAAAAGACATGTGTCGTACGGAAAACTTGAACTGATTTACAGATTACTCATTGAAAAACATCATTGATGTTGTCACGTGTCAGCTCAAATTCTATTCTGATATTTGTTGCGCCGCCGAAACCATTTTTGTAAATTCTGATCGACCTACACCTCCACAAGTAAAACGACTAAGGAAGGTTAAATAAAGGATGTACATGGAGAAAAACTCCACTGAAGTTCGAAAGCTAAACGGCCTAATAAACCTAGAGATTATATGTTTGAACTAGACGTTTTATCAGAAACTACTATCTTGTAATAACTCTTCAAATCTGTGAAAACTATTAAAACAGCTTATAGGTGAGAGACTCATCAAGGGCGATAACCAGGTGAATGGTTGTGACTTAAATAAGTCTCTTGTGGGTCAGTCATCCGATGTCATGCTTCCTAGACCCACATGCTCGAACAATGGTTGTGTTCTGATATTCACTGACTCCAGTCACATAACTCAGCCCAATGTTTAGAACCTGACGAAATACGTGTAGGTAATGCCCTACAGATGTCATTCTGAACTATTCTCTGTAGAGCACAAAGTAGTAGCATAGCCAACGTCAGAAAAAATAAGCTAGTAGGCTACATAAACTTTACCTGTTTTGAACAGTAACTAGAGGATACGAAAAATGAGTCAACAAACTTAATATCATTCATGATAAACATAAAATTATAATAATATGTAATAATACATTTCTGCCAGGACAGGTACACGCCATTTTGACAGGCATGATCTACAACTTACAACATTTGTTGGTGAGCAAGCAAAGTATAGTCATACAAGGTCACAGAAAGTTAATGTGGTAGTGGGCGTTTCCTGCCGTCATTGATGGGTTCAATTATCGATCACACTTTACAATCCATTAACCTTCTTTTAGGAAGTGTGTCGACATGCTCCATTACCATCCACGAACGTTTCTAACAAACAATTCTCAGCTTTTCTCATAACAAAAATGTGAATAAGGGTAGAGATAATCCCAATACTTGAGAAAATATCTGGCGACAAGAATGTAAAATGTGAACCCATGGCAATAACTTCATCTCTTTTCAAAAGAACGGAAAAATTATTGCTAATTCTATATCAATCTGCACTAAAACAGCATATTCATCCGTATCACTTTGCTTACAAATGTACCTTAGATGCTGCTGTTATTATCTACCATAGCATACTTTAACGATTTGCATTGTACCTATTATCTCTTACTGTTTTACATTATTCTTTCCTGGAAAGACTTTGCTGTATTGCGGAGAGTGTTGAAGGCACTTGGCAGGGTGTATGGAGAATCTTTAAAAGTCAATGTTATGGTTGTAGATAAACGTTTAGAATTGTGTAAACTCCCGGAAGGTGTTATTTTTTCAAATACTGACGAGTCCTTTCATTCAGATCTCTATCCTTGTGTATCTTTTGGCAGAACGAGGAGCCATTCCATTAGAATGCATGCACGCAAGCAAAGATATAAAAGCCCTACAATTCCTTATCCAACAAATGTACGGCCTGACAAACAGGTTATTAGAGCTCACTCAAGCAATAAATTATATTCCTAAACAATTTTCTAAATAAAAATTGTGTAGTTTCTCATCCTATTAGAAAGCATTTCCTTTGATTCCAGATAGTTTGTTTAGTTATTTCATACATATGTGTGGAGTTGTAGGTTGATTTTTTTGAATGTAAAAGCGACTTGTTGAAATACTTTGTGCTGAGAATTTCGTTGTGGAATACATTTAATATTGAATAAAGTCAGTAGTAATAATGAAAGTATACTTATTTAAATACTAACATATATATAAAAACCGAGGTTTCGTTTTATCAATAGAAAAGTGACAAGTTCAGGTCATTCATCTCTCGGTTAACTTGTTTACCCCAGTTAGTCATAAAGCTGGTTATGCTTTTAGGACAAGTATTGTGGAACTAGCTAGTGATTTGTCGTTTACTTATATCTAAATCTCTGAGCTTCCAAGAGTGTGTTCTATTATTTGGTTCAAAGATATCACAGATATTCAGTGCATGACAACTCTGTTGTGCATGATCGAGTTCGTCATGTCGGATTCCCCAGTGTAGAATTCTTGCGTAGGGTATTAGTAATAATAATAATAATATATTTCTGCATATGCAGGTATACACCGTTTTTACAGGCATGATCTATAAATTACAACATTTGTTGGTTCGCAAAATGCTTCCCAACTTATTAAGTTTATAGTTGTTATAAAGTGAAATCGTAGAGCGCTTGCTGTAAACTATGACCTTGAGAGGACGCGTACGTCAAGTTCGCTCCAAACGTCAGAAGTTTCATAGCTGTGCTCTCAGAGCAAGATTCTGAAAAAGAATAAAAGAGAAACAGAAGAGCAGCAAAGCACTTGGATATGAACGCCAAAGGTTGCTTAACATTGTGTAGTAGTACGGACAGAGGTAGAATAAATTAGAATAAACTCATATTATGTCTTGTTAGAGTGAAGTGAAGTCAGAGGCTCCATATTAGAGAATGTACTAATAAAGAACAATGAGTTGTGATGTTTAACAAGTTGGAGTAAGCTCACATGAAGGAAGGGAAGTCAAGGTTAGTACAAGGGAAGCGGTTTATTAGAAGGGTGTGTGTATAGAGGGTGAAGTGTTAAGAATACTAGTGACTATATCTTTTATTGTCTTTTTTCTTTTCTTTTTTTGTCCATCCGATTTCAGCCACGCAATCCTAGTGTAAAAGTCCGAGTTAGCATGTTATAGGTTGTCTTAGTAGAATAGCTAATCCAGCATAATATTGGAAACATGAGTCTGAGTGGTGAGCGTAGGAAGACAATCTGTATCTCAGATTGACTGTCTTATTCTCAATTATAAAGAGCCTGGTACATACAAAACGCTCTGTCCCCACAAACACGGGTGGATTGAAGTTATCGCCCTCACCATTGTAGTGACTCACGTTTATCACGAGAACACGACTGGTTTAATTAAAACAATCATTATTATAACCAACTGTACCAGTGTTTGTTTTAACGTGCTTTTGTTTGACTGTGCTAATGACAGCTATTTCGTGCTTCCATTCTTATACTTACACTTCGATTGTAACTTCGCGCGAATTCGGTTACCTTCTGTAACCAAGGTTGTATCCTGGCACGATCTCGGTATCCTTTCGATGCCACGAGATCGCCAGCAAATATAACTCGACTTGGTCCATTAATTGCCTTCTGGTATTCGGCTTCTCGGGGATTTTATGGAGTCATTTGGAACGAGCTTCTTACGCCTTCTGATCTATTTGGCACGTGTTTCTTGGTAGCGGTGTTCATAGTTAATCACAACTCGACACCACGCTACACCATCAATGCTTGCTGGTCAGTAACTCCACCCTCCCTCCTTTTGTGATGTTAGGCTCATTTAGGCTTATTTTTGTATACACGTCATACCTCACACAATCCTCTGTTTCACAACCTGTTGGAAAGCACTATTTCTGTAAGTACCATTTTACAAGCTTATCAGGCAGTTACAAGCTATGGACTGTGGATAAAGCATCGATGCAGTGCCTTTGTTGACTATAGTATAAAGTATAGTTTGCCAATCAGAGTATAAGCGTTAAGAAGGGTATATTGTAGGATAGTTGTTTATTTAAGCAGGCGGAAAAAGTATAGAAGTATGAGTTGTGGATAAGGGAACGAGTGGAGAAATAATATTAATTGCTAGTCAACATAGTGTACAGAAGAGTAAAATGTTAATACAGGATAAACAGGAAGGAACTCACAGTAACTTGGTGCTGATGTTATTTTCTGTTGTCTTAACCAGTTGATTGGTAACAGGTTCCATAGATGCAAGACCACTGGTAGTAGGCAGCCGATTGTGCGGTCCTCTTGACTTTTTAGGG